GTGCTGGCTGCGGGACTTCGTGCTGCCCCCTGCGGCCTGCCAGAGTAGCTATAGCCAGTTGGTCTATGAGATCCTCTTCGAAGACCTGGACCGCAATGGGGATGGTGTGGTGGACATCATGGAGCTCAGAGAAGGGCTGAGGAACTGGAATTCCGCCTTTGATTCCGACTCAGAAAAGGTGAGCCACGGAGGGAGAGCATGTGGCACAAGACATTGTTGCACTGAGCGCACCCAATCTGCCGCCCTGTCCCTGTCAGAATTTTCCAGAGCTTTCCTGAACTTGTGGAGCAGGAGTGGAATCCCCTTTTGTTGGATTCTTCATGCAGAATAATAACACAGCCACAGTGAAACATGTCAACATTCTCAAAATAGTCGTTATCTGTAGTGACAAAACCGCCCTGGCATTTGAAGGAGATTCTGGGGTTCTGGACATTTCCTATCCAGAAGGGTCAGAACTGTGCTAGCTTTTGTCCAAAGTAAGCCTGTTGTTTTCAAGAGGCTTTCAGCCTACGGGAGCTTGTCTTAGGAATTGTGCACAGATGAGTATCCCAGAACTGGTGTCTTTCGACTTAACAGTCTCCAAACCCAAGGCGAGCCAACAGACTTACATTTTATTAGTATTTATCATAAAACTAGGATTTTTATGAAAACTAGGCTCACCATCCCAGGGCCCATTTCTAGTCTCCTGGTCTACAGGTGCTCCAAGTTAAACAGACTAGTCAAAAGATTTGTGGTGCCACATGTGAGAGAGTAATCTTTCTGGGTCTGGGTTAACAAAGTAATTTTCTAAAAGACAGTTCCATCCATTTACCTGCAAAGTTCATGAGTTCGTTTTTCTTTATGACTGAACAAAATCCAATTGTATATATGTACCACATTTTCATTATCCATCCATCCGTTGCTGGACATCTAGGCTGTTTTCATTTCCTAACCCTTTTGAACAGAGAAGCAATGAACATGGCCTGACAATCGTTTCTGTGGTGGGTTATAAAGTCCTTTGAGTAGATACCTGTCGAGTAATATAACTGGCTCATAGGGTAGATCTATTTATAGCCTTCTGAGAATCCTCCCCTGACACTGATTTCCATCCTGGTGGCTTTAGGTTCCAGTCTCACCAGTAACAAATGAGGGTTCCCCTTTCCACTCAATGTCACCAACAATTGTTACTTTGCTTTCTTGATGATAGCCACGTTGGTTGGGGTGCGATGAACTCTCAATGTCATTTTGATTTCTATTAATTTGATAGTTAAAGATGTTTAACACTAATGATTTCTTAGCAATATGCATTTCTTCTTTTGAGAACTCTGGTTCAGTTCATTGCTCTATTTTTAAATGGACTTGTTTGGTTTCTTGAGTTCTTTGTATATTTTAGACACTAATCTTCTATCAGATGTATAGCTGGCAAAGATTTTTTTTCCTATTCTATAGCCTGCCCCTTTAGCTGCTTAACAGTTTGCAGTGTGGAAGCCTTTGAACTTCACAAAGACCCATTTGTCAATCACTGACCCTATGTCCTTCTCGAGGGGTTCTACTCAGAAAGTCTTTACTCTAGCCTTAGGTGTACTCCCTAATCTGTCCTCTAGAAGTTTCAGTTTCATGTCTAACATTGAGATCTTTGATTCATTTGAAATGGCTTTTTGTGCAGGGGGGAGAGATAAGGATCAAATTAAATTCTTCGTGTATGTGTCTATGGGAAGAGCCGCGTTTATAAGACCTTGTTCTGGCCCTGCCCAGGCCGGGAGGCCCAGATGGGGAGCCCTGGACTGGGGCCCCCCTGGATGATGGTGGGGCCTGGACAGGCAGTGAGGAAGGGAGCGAGGAGGGTACTGGAGGCAGTGAGGGTGTTGAAGGTGATGGGAGCCCTAATGCAGAGGGTGTGTGGAACCCCGGCATTGAGTAGAGTTTTCAAGAGGTCCTGCCGGCCATATACCCTCTGTGTGGCTGATGCAGGATCATCTTGTCAGATGAGGGCAAGATGTATTGCCGGAATGAACTCATTGCCCGGTACATCAAGCTGAGGACAGGGAAGACGAGAACTCACAAGCAGACTCAGAGCCCAGAAGAGAACAGAATGGAGACCCTAGACTAGTACTATGTGGTTTTCTGCTTGCTGCTAGGCCTGTTGACTGCAATAGACTTCTTTCTCTTGGGCTGGTTCCACTTCCTGTTAGCAGATCTCCTCGGCAAGTACCCCACGATTCTGGCACCTCTAACATCTTGGATTCTCCAAGACAATCCAGGCTTCAACTTTACAGCGTCATAGAATGGAGAATCTTGGATTCTCCAAGACAATTCCAGGCTTCTTTACTAGGTTTCCATTCAGGGACATTGCTGACACATGCCTGACCTCAGTGGCTCTCCTTAGGGACAAATTCCATAACCCCTTTCTTCTATCCTTAACTCTTAGAACCACATGGCCAGAGCTGCCAAATTCTGCTACTTACTGGAACTGAATCATGCCCCCTTGTTCAGTTACCTCTTCACCAGCTTTCTGTCTTTCACTGCCTAAGCTTGGTTGTCCTGAAACTTGTGCTATAGACCAGACTGGCATCAAACTCGGAGATCTGCCAGCCTCTGCCTTTCCAGTGCTGGGATTAAAGGTGTGCACCACCACACCAGCTCTAAACTTGTCTTTAGTTCCTTTTCAAAAGTTGGAAACTTAACTGGCTCTTACCCCGAGGTCACTACTCCTTATATTCCATTTCTTAATCCGTTTATCTCCTTGAACACAGGATTTAGCTCTCTTCTACTTCCTGGAGCCCCTTTTCTTCTCAAATTGTATATTTTCTATTTTTTCTTTGTTCAGCTTGCTCCCTTTCATTATGAGTGAACAGTAATAACAACAAGATAGAGTCCATACTAGACTGTTTTGAGATTTCCTTTGCCAACACAACTAATCCAAAACTTTTCAATTTAGCCTCAGGCAGATTCTTCAGGCAAGGGCAAAAAACAGCCATCCTCTTCATCAAAATATCACAAGAACAGTCTCTAGGCTACATGCTGAAGTTCTTCTCCTTTGAAACTTCTTGAGCCAGGCCTCTGTAGTTCAAATCACTCTCAGCATCACTGTCTTCCATGTTCCTACTAGGATGGCTCATTAAGCCCTCACTTAAAGCATTTAGCTGCTTTTCTGAATCAAACTTCCAAAGTCTGCATTCCTTCAGACAAAAGCATGGCTAGGTTTATCACAGCAATAGCCCACGTCTGGTACCAACTTCTGTCTTAGTTAGGATTTTATTGTTGTGAAGAGACACCATGAGCATGGCAACTCTTCTAAAGGAAACCCTCTAACTGGGGCAGACTGACAGTCAGTTATCATCATGGAGGGATGCATGGTGCTGGAGAAGGAGCTGCCAGTTTTACATCTGGACTGGCAGGCAGCGGGAAGTGACTGAAACATACTTCTCCAACAAGGCCACACCTTCTCCAACAAGGCCACACCTTCTCCAACAAGGCCACAAACAAGGCCACACCTCCTAATTGTTCCACTCCCTTTGGACCTATGTAGGTCATTTTTAATCAAACTACTACAGATTGTATTTCTTAGAAATATAACATTGAGTACTGCCTCTTTGTCAAATTGGAGCTATAGGTTTGGGCTTTTGGCTTAGTATTTGTCTGATCCGTCAGGTCAGGGAAATTGAGCTACTGTGCTTTTCCAAAATGCATGTGTATTGGACTCTCCTTGTCTGGTGTCACTGGCAGGCATTTTGGATGAGTGGAGCTACTCCTGGACTTTCTGGATGGAACAGTTCCAGTCTCCATGATTATTTGTAATCAAGGGAGTTGAGCATTCCTTTTCTGGGTCATTATTGATGGAGTGTGCCCTGTAGCTGTGTGTCTAAACTAGACTCTATGTAGAATCCGGTGAAGTTTTATGCTGTGTTTCTGAGGGCAGCCAGCTCAGTTTTAAAAGTGGTCATGAAGTTGACTGATGTTTCTGATTGTCTATTAAACCTGGCAGGAACGGAGAGATAACATCAAGATTTATGTGCTAGTCCCTATACTCTTGGACCCAACTTCCCTTTTTTGGGTTTCTGTCTTACTGCAAGTGGTCAACCATATTGCTACTTCTGGTGGCCTATGTGCATTTAGAGTTGGATGGGCCTTCCAGCAACTATGTTAGAATGCTAGGAAGCTAGTTGCCTACCTCTGGATGTCTTTTGTCTTATAGGAGCTTATCATGAAGAGACTCTATCTGGCCTTATTCTGACTTCAGTGAATTGGGAGCAGCATCACGTTTGAAGTGAGGCTGTTGTTCTTGGTCTTATCCTTCACGTCTGCCAATTATGTAGCTGTATTAGGCTTGCTTCTAAATCTTAGGGGTTTTAAAAGATGTTCTGGTATGTATGGTCAATAGTTATGTTTTCTGGTGTGTGTGCATGTGGTGGAGAGGAGCCTAAAACTTTACTCTGTGATATTGTTAATATCACTCTCAATGATTTATTGTGAAAGTAAAACTGTATTTCTGCCATACGTAGAAAGCTAGTAGATTATAAATAACCATAAAATGGACATTATAAAAGTTATATTTTAAAATTTTGTTTAAATACCATATTACCCTGTGAAGTTGAGACTTGTACTCTGATTTGTGTGTTTTAAGAAATTGGTAAGTTTTGAGACATGTTTGGGTAATACAGACATTTCTCATGATATAGTCAAGAAGGAATGGTACTTGAATGTCAGTGTTCTGTTCGGGTCAAGTAGGAGAAGGGTTATCCAAGATAAATTTTAGGCTATCTGCAGTAGGGAGGTCCGGCTTCAGAAGGACTGAAACTTGCAGCTTTGCAAAAGCCTCCTTTTATTATTACACAATTTTTTCCTCTAGCAAGTCAGCTTCCGCATACCAAAACCTCTTATCTGGAGTTGTTTGAAGGATTTGTGTAAGCAATTTTCAGCCACAGACCTCCTGGTTTGCCAGGTACTCTCAAGACTAAGTTTTGCAAAGGCTCTGAAATCCTTCAGGAAGAACTCAAAGAAGAATCACTGACTTTAAACAAAAGGTAGTCCAAGGCCTAGGTGCTGTGTCTCTAAAATTCAAGCCAGATGCAATGGCTCTGTGGAATCTCTCTCTACAATTGGAGCAAAGACTAATTTTCTCAAGCTGTGATTTAATACTGTTTTCATGTGTGGTGGTTTGAAAGAAAATGGCCCCCAAAGGGTGGCACTATTAGTATTAGGCACAACAAGTATGGCCTTGTTGGAGGGAGTGTGTCTCCATGGGGGTGGGCTTTGAGGTCTCCTATGCTAAAGCTACATCCAGTGTAGACTCAGTCTTCTTCTTGTTGCCTTTGAGTCAGGATGTAGAAGTCTCAGCTCCTTCTTCAGCACCATGCCTGACTGCATGCCGCCATGTTGCACAGTGGTGATAATGGACTGAACCTCTGTAAATGTTAGTCACCCCAATTAAGTGTTTTTCCTTTATAAGAGTTGCTGTGGCCATGGTGTCTCTTCATAGCAATAGAAATCCTAAGATACCATGTGAGCACCATATATGTTCTGCTTAATGGAAACTACCAATGAATTAATCAACAAATTAATGAAGCATTAATTTGAGATATTTTTTTGTAGCATTTCTCCCCTCTTTATCTTTTCTTCCATTCATTTTGTTTTTAGCAAATTGTGTAGTGTAGGTGTTTTCCTGTGTTGGCAGCTGCTCTCAAATAACCACTCAGAGTCTTAATTACAAATGCTTGGCCAATGGTTCAGGCTTGACACTAGCTAACTCTTACATTTTCAGTTAACCCATATTTTTATCTACACTTTGTGACGTGGCTTAGTACCTTTTCTCAGTACAGCATGCCTTTCTTACTTCTCTCTGTCTCTGTTGGTGACTCCTGACTCCATCCTTCTTTCTCCCATCATTCTGTTCGGCTCTTTCACCTAACCTTGTTCTGTTCATTTATTGGCCAGTCAGCTCCTTTATTAAACTAATCCCTGTGACATATTTACAGTATACAGAAGATTATTCTACAGCAGGATATAGATGAAATGAACTTATAGCCATAATTTGCTTAGAACTAAATGATCAATATATTTTGAATGTTATTATCACCATTAGTATTACTAAATTTTTATAACTGACATCTATTTTATCTCCATGTAAATATTTCACATACTATAGAAATGTTTACTCCTATTTATCTGTTTAACAAGTGTTTTTCCTTGTGGATCTCAACGCAAGCAGTCTTCCTTTCTGAAGGCTCTCTGGAGATGCTCAGCACTCTTACTTCATTTACTGTCTCACATCTTACTGCACCTTGAATTTCTCACATTATTTCTCCTGGCATACTACCACCTGTGGTCATGTGAGTCAACTTTACTAGTCTATAATTTGCTTCAGACTAGAGACCGTAACTTTTAGTCTTTTTATTACCAGTGGTGTCTTGTGTGCAGTATGAGTGTGTGGTGTGTGGTGTGCAGTGTGTGCAACATGCAATGTGTGGTGTACAGTGTGCAGTATACAGTGTGCAGTGTCGGTGTGTGCAGTATAAGGTGTGTGTGGTGTTCAGTGTTTGCTTTGCAGTGTGATCTAGTTTTCAGCTCATAGCATTTATTTTCAAATTTAATAAATATTGAGATATGTAATCTATTAAAGGCCAATATTTCATACTTTATGCTAGACATTTGATGATACAAAGATGAACAATATATGGTCAGTGTAGTAAGAGTCTTCTGGGAATATACAGTCTTTGTAACATATTATTAATTGTTTTTGAAAGATTTGTTTATATTTACATGTGTAAGTGTTTTATGTGCATTTATGTTAAGTGTACTATGTTTGTCTCTGGTGCCTGTGGAGTCTAGAGAGGGTGCTAGATCCCTTGGAATTGGAGTTACAGGTGGTTGAAAGTTACCATGTGGGTGCTGGGTACTGAACCCAGGTCCCTGGAAGAGCAGCCAGTGTTCTTAACTGCTGAGCCATCTATCCAGTCCTATAGTGTTAACTTTTTTATTTTAAAAAGCTTAAGGACAAAGCTGGGCAGTGGTGGCACACACCTTTATTCCCAGGACCCTAGAGGCAGAGGCAGGTGAATCTCTGTGAGTTTCAGGCCAGCCTGGTCTATAAGAGCTAGTTCCAGGACAGGTTCCAAAGCTATAGTGAAACCTTGTCTCGAAAAAAAAAAAAGTAAGGACTTAGTGAGACTCGAACATACATGCTTATTTCACAAGGCTAGGTCTTAAACCCTAATCTGAGGAACATCAGAGTTTCATGTTTATCACATTTAGTAGACAGATTTTTTATTGCCTCTGATGGCAAAGGCTCTATACCTTAGTATCCTTAAGCCCTTGAGGTGTGTGTAATTAAAGTAAATACTTACTAATAAATTTCATATTGATTTGAGATGACATGATGGCTCTTGACTTCAGTACTGTATGAATCTAAAAAAAATTGAATAATTGAATGTGTTTAGGTTTACATTAATGACTAAAAACTAGGCAATGGGCACTTATAATGGAAACCATATAGTATGAGTGAAATGAGCTAATGCTAGCATGGCAGAATGGCTTCACATATCATTGTTGCAATGAGTTTCTTCTCTTATAGACAATTCTTCAGGCTGCAGATTCCAATGCTGATGCAGGATTGGATTTTGAAGAATTTGTGCAGTACCTTCAAGACCACGAGAAGAAAATGAAACTGGCATTTAAGAGTCTGGACAGAAATAATGATGGTGTGTGTATGTATTCCCCACAGTTAGCTTGATATGAAGAAGTACTAGTGCTAATGAATAATTTTACTAGCCTTTTCAATTTTTTCCTACTGTCAGATCCAATTTATTATTTAGCAATAATTTTATATTACAGAGAATAATATAATTGATGTCTTTGGGTTTCTATAGCTATGATAAAACACCAGAACCGAAAGCAACGTGAATTTCTTCTTTTTTGTAGGAAATTCTTTTATTATTATTATTATTATTATTATTATTATTATTATTACTATTATTATTAAAAAATTTCCACCCCCTCTCTACCTCCCTTTTCCCTCCCCCTCCCCCCTCCTTCTCCTTCCCCAATCCAAAGAGCAGTCAGGGTTCCCAGCCCTGTGGGAAGTCCAAGGTCCTCCCCCCTCCATCCAGGTCCAGGAAGGTGTGCGACCAAACAAACCAGGCTCCCAAAAAGCCAGTACATGCAGTAGGATCAAAACCCAGTGCCATTGTCCTTGACTTCTCAGTCAGCCCTCATTGTCTGTCACATTCAGAGAGTCTGGTTTGATCCCATGCTCTTTCAGTCCCAGTCCAGCTGGCCTTGGTGAGCTCCCATTAGATCAATCCCACCGTTTCAGTGGGTGGGTGCACCCCTCGCGGTCCTGACTTCCTTGCTCATGTTCTTCCTCTTTCTGCTCCTCATTTGAACCTTGGGAGCTAAGTCCAGTGCTCCAGTGTGGGTCTCTGTCTCTATCTCCATCCATCGCCAGATGAAGCTTCTATGGTGATATGCAAGATAATCATCAGTGTGGCTATAGGGTAGGGCCACTTCAGGCTCCCTCTCCTCAGCTGCCCAAGGAACTAGCTGGGGACATCTCCATGGACACCTGGGAACCCCTCTAGAGTCAAGTCTCTTGCCAACCCTAAAATGGCTTCCTTAATTAAGATATCTTCTTCCCTGCTCCCATATCCACCCTTCCTCCATCCCAACCATCCTATTCCCCCAGGGTCTCCCCATCGTCCCCTCTTCACTTTTCTCTCCCCATGTTCCCTTACCCTCACCCACCCCCACCCCCAAGATCCCAATTTTTGTCTGGCAATCTAGTCTACTTCCAATATCCACGAGGATAACTATATGTTTTTCTTTGGGTTCACCTTCTTATTTAGCTTCTCTAGGACCACGAATTATAGGCTCACTGACCTTTATGGCTAGAATCCACTTATGAGTGAGTACATACCATATTCATCTTTTTGGGTCTGGGTTACCTCACTCAGAATAGTGTTTTCTATTTCCATCCATTTGCATACAAAATTCAAGATGTCATTGTTTTTTACCGCTGAGTAAAGCAAAGGACACTGTCATTAAGACAAAAAGGCTACCTACAGACTGGGAGAAGATTTTCACCAACCCCACAACAGACAAAGGTCTGATCTCCAAAATATATAAAGAACTCAAGAAACTAGACTTTAAAATGCTAATTAACCCAATTAAAAAATGGGGCACTGAACTGAACAGAGAATTTTCAACAGAAGTTCAAATGGCCAAAAAACACTTTAAGGTCATGCTCAACCTCCTTAGTGATCAGGGAAATGCAAATCAAAACAACTCTGAGATACCATCTTACACCTGTCAGAATGGTTAAAATCAAAAACACTAATGATTGCCTTTGCTGGAGAGGATGTGGAGTAAAGGGTACACTCATCCATTGCTGGTGGGAATGCAAGCTTGTGCAACCACTTTGGAAATCAGTGTGGCAGTTTCTCAGGAAATTTGGAATCAACCTACCCAGGATCCAGCAATACCACTCTTGGGAATATACCCAAGAGATGCCCAATCATAACTACAAAAGCATTTGTTCAACTATGTTCATGGCAGCATTATTTGTAATAGCCAGGACCTGGAAACAACCTAGATGCCCTTCAATGGAAGAATGGATAAAGAAAGTGTGGAATATATACACATTAGTGTAGGAAATTCTTGAGGTTGCAAATCTCACTGTGTAGCCCTTACTGACCTGAGACTTGCTATGTAGACCAAGCTGGCCTTGAACTCACAGAGATCTCCCTGCCTCTGCTTCCTGAGTGCTGAGATAAAGGGTGTGCACTGCCATGTCCAGGACATTCATATATATAAAACAATTCCTCTTGTTGTGCTGACCCCCAACCAGAAAATTATTATTATTATTATTATTATTATTATTATTATTTATTTTTTTGGAGACAGGGTTTTTCGGTGTAGCTTTGGAGCCTGTCCTGTAACTTGCTCTATAGACCAGTCTCCAGGCTGACCTCAAACTCACAGAGATCCGCCTGCCTCTGCTGCCTGAGGAATGCTGGGATTAAAGGTGTGTGCTACCACTGCTCAGTATAAGATTATTGTTGCTATCATAACTGTAATTTTGCTGCCGATACGAACTGTAATGTAAATGTCTGTTTTCTGTACGTTTCTTAGGCAGCTGTTGTCAAAGGGTTGTTCAACCACAGAGGTCACGACCCACAGGTTGAAAACACTGCTATAGACCTTCTTTTCAAGTTTAATTTATTTACTCTTTGAGACAGAGTTTCCCTGTGTAGTCCTGGCACTCACTATGTAGATAGAGATCTGCCTGCCTCTGCCTCCTGAATACTGGGATTAAAGGTGTGCTCCACTACACCTGTCACATCTGATATATTTTTCTTTAATAAAATGAGTTTTTCAGAGGTTTATATCCTCTAATTTTAAAGCTTTGTGTATTGGGTAGTCTTTTTTTTTTTTGGCAAGTTTTCTCTGTGTAACAGTCCTAGCTGCCCTAGAACTCATTTTGTAGACCAGGCTGGCCTTGAACTCAAAGAAATCCTCCTGGGCTGGAGAGATGGCTCAGCCATTGGAGGCTAGGCTCACAACCAAAAATATAAGAAATCCTTCTGACTCTGCCTCCCAAGTACAGGAACCAAAGGTGTGTGCCACCACCTCCTGGTTATCTTTTTATTTTTTATTTTTGTAATAAATTGGTATGGGAGTTTGAAAAATGACAGTTGTGAACTGGTCACATGGCTTAGTGGGGGAGAATACTTGCCTGTAAGCTGAGCACTCTTGAGTTGATTTCTGGAAACTAATGTAAAAGTACAAGGACAGAAGCCACTCCTGAAAGTTGTCCTCGGACCTCCACAAGTGTTCTGTGGCACACATGCCCCACATCATGTTCATACACACACACACTGATAGGGGAGTTCAGCCAATCACATTTTGTTCGTGGGGCATGTCGCCCTTAGGCTAAAGTTTACCTATAAACCTGGCTGGCTCTCTCTCTCAATCTCTCTCTCTCTCTCTCTCTCTCTCTCCTGGCTCCTGTGTCCGGACAGATCGTTTGGATTCTGGTGTAAGCTGGTGTAAGTCTTCTGTTTATTAAAGCTGTATATTTTGTATTAAGATAGTCTGAGGTCTTTTCATTACCGATCGCCCTGCGGCATTAACACACACACACACACACACACACACACACACACACACACACACACAAACACCACTCTAAAAAAATGACAGCCTTCATGATTTTGAAGATATATTAGCTTCAGGAAATTTAGGTAATGCAGATAAACTACTGAAAGAAAATGAAATTGCTTACAATCCTGCTCTTAGGTCTTTCCTACTGCTGTGATAAAATGCTTTGACCCAGGGAGGCCACAAAGCCCCCTACCCCTCCCCAAACTAGTGCCATTGCTCCTGTCTACCAGAAATGGATAGTAAGAGTATTGCCGAAGACACTACACTGTTTGGTCATAGAACGTGGAGAAATATGCTGGTCCTGACCTGGGAACATGTCCCCTGCAGGCTGACTTTCATAGTGCTGGATGGTTTGCAGGCACCTAGGGAGAAAAGTCATCTCAACTGTGAACCTTGAAAGCCACACAAATAATTGGCCAGGCGAGATATATCCATTGGTGCAAATTGTTTCATTAGTGTTATATGGTAACTGACTGCTTCTTGTTTGGACTTTAGGCTTGCTGCAAAGGCAAGAGCTCTTGTTTGGACCATAAACCTGCTCAAGAGTGGGAGGCAGGGAGATCATAGAGCCTCAGGGGAACCACTGTGTCTTTTCTACATCAACGCCTGGTCACCCTGCTTTCTAAATACACGTGTTTATATCCAAAGATTATCTCAGCCTTTGTCAGAGAGGCATCTTTTGGCGGTGGGCAGTGGTTATTGCAGACTTGTAACTGGTTAAACTGCCAAGAATAAAGGATGGTTGAATTGCCAAGACAAGAATTTTTGACTGTAAATAAGTCCGCTGTATTACCCCCTCCAAGACTCAAGGAAACATGGAAGAAGAGAAAAGCAGAAATATCAGAAAAGCCAGAGGATGGGGACATGTGTGGAATGACATGGCTGTTATGCTCATGAATTCACAATCACTGTGGTTACCTGCATAAGAGCTGATCATGCTTGGCCTGCCAGCCTTTCCTGGTGAGGCCCACCCCTCCTTAGGGACGTTGAGCAGTTATGGTGGCTAGGGGAAGAGGCATTACTTTTTTCAGCGATGTAATTCTTGATAAGCTGCCCATGCTCCAGTAAATGACCTCCTACTCATGTCTCACAAACAACCCCAATTAAACTCAATGGCTCACACAGAAAGGGACGTGGAAATAGTAGAAAATTTCTTGGGAAGAAAAAAAAGGTTTCATTGGGAGAAGGGGGATTAGAGAGGGTATAGTAGGGTGTGAAAATTGCTAAAATTTATTATGCACATATATGAAACTATCAAAGAAGAAAAAACTGACAAAAACAACAGAAGGGAGAAAAGGTTTATTCTGTTGCACAGTTGAAGGGTACAGTCCATCCTGGTGGGAAGCCTGAGTGGCGGGGCTTGAAGCAGCTGGTCCACAGAGATGAATGAATTCCAGTTTGCTTTCACTAATTTATACACGCATAAACACAGACACACACACAGACACACACACACACACACACACACACACACACACACACAGAGAGAGAGAGAGAGAGAGAGAGAGAGAGAGAGAGAGAGAGAGAGAGATGTATATAT